GAGAAAAATGTGTCAGAAATTGAAAAACATATTTCTGACACATTTTTCTCGAGAAACACGCTACGTTTCCTGAAGTGATGGTAATTAGTGGCACAATGTAAGTGTTGTGGCCCTGTGTGACAGGTGGCCCTGAGTGTCTGTGTGATATGTCCAAAAGTCCAACATACCTGACTTTGAGGCATGCTCATGTTGTAGGGTGCATAATGTGCAAAGTCATTGGAAGTGTTAATGCCAAAGGAATCGTCATTGAAGCAAATAGGGTCTTCGACATCAGAAATGTTTTGCCAGACCAAGTAACAAGACCGTTTACAGAGCCCCAGCAATTGAGGGAGCTCGGCCTCCGAAGCAGTTGCATCTGTCAACGTGGCAGCAGCCATCTATCGTAACAATTTGTTTGATTTGCCAGAGTGGGTGCATTGGGATTAGTCTGTACGCATTTGCGATGTCTGATTTCCAGAGTGTCAAGTGTTGGCGAGATTTTGCTCAAAAACGGAGTAAGAGGTCGCCAAGGTGCCTCATGTTGTCCATTGGGAACCCAGAGATGTCATTGTCAAGGCACATCTCATCGCCTACATAATTGACGCGGGACCGACTGAGTCAATGAAGGCGTGTGCGCAGAGCCTGTCTCGATATGTCTATTCATTCGAAAACAGATTCAACATTGCGACACTGTAGATACAACAAAAAAGAGAAAGACCGTTCTACATTGAAGAGCGAACAAAAAACATTGTTTATGAATATGTTTCTTGTCGAATCGCGCTGAGCTACATAACACAACGTGGTCACAGAGTCCTCCAACCTGCACCCTGCATTCCACTCCTTATAATTATGGATTCATCCCCCATTTCCCTCGCTCACATAAGTATAAACCTGCAAAAATATTCGATCACAAGTGCCTATGATGAGAGGGAGATTCGAACTCCCGCCCCCGAAGAGACCAGATAAGAAGAGCGAAGAGCTCTGTGGTACATCTGTGGTACAGGAACCTTAGTCTGGCGCCTTAGACCGCTCGGCCATCTCACCATGTCCTCAAAACGTGTGTAGGAGAGTGAGCACCTGCACACCGTTAACGTCCCTCACCCCTCGACCGCGCTGTCGAGGACGAGCTTCCGATGTAATAACACCGTATACGATGCCGCCTGTAAACATAAACATAAACATCAACATAAATTTCAATTCCCCATACCGTATAGGGTATCGTATTAGGGTGTGGTGTGGCACCACGACGTCATACGTCCCGTAGCCGAGACACAGTAACAAACTGAGACGGGTATATAACCCACAGTGGCGCGACACCTCTAGGCCCTCGAGTTTGAATTCCTTGCTAACAACTTGCTTTCACTCACCGAATTCACGAACATACTAATTGACTGATTGACGAACCAGCATGGCAGCACACGCCCCGGTCCGCATGCCCTCCAGCGAATGGGGCGGCAAAGATCGACCTGTGTATTATCGCAG